GCTTCTTGCTCCTGCCAGCCACACTATGGAAAGGGAAACGGGTGAACTTTGAAAGCAAACAGATTTCACAGTTGTCATCGGGTGGCTGTCCGTTCAGCTTCAGACCCTTAACGGCTCCATCCTTCTCCAGCTGCTTCAGCAAAGGCATTGCCACATGCCCTAAGCGTCGGTGTGCCGTTGCCCAATCTGTCTCCCCAGATCTGGCCGACACTTTCACACCAACCCCTCCAACGGCATTGCACTCCCCCTGGGATGCAGACCCCTCTCCAGCCTGCCCCCCACCATGCCACGCCAGGGCCGGCAGCTGCCACATAGATCTGTACACGTCCTTGCTCTCGTGCAGATCCCAAAGCACCCGATTGCCCAGCTTCCCCTTATAAGTGCGTGCCCCATCCGTGTTGGTGTTCACCCCAGCCTTGCCAAGCTTACGGAGGGAGATAAGGTTGGCCTTCAGGTCGGGGACGAAGAGAACGTCGTGCAGCACCACCGGCTTGCCATCCGCTCCCTTAAACGCAGCTCGTCCCGCACCAGCCACCTTCAACATGTGTCCAGAGGCGGAGCACACTTCATTGATCGGTGCAGCTCGTACTTCGTCCAGCAGGTCCTTGCGCGGCGTCATCGTCCAAGCAGCGCCTGTGTCCAACACCCAATAGTCTAGGGGGTGCAGCTCTGCTCCAACTTTGGCAGAGGCGTCTCCTTGCTCCCCCTTGTCTCCCACATGGAAGAATTGGCCCGCGGTGCGCTCCTTCTTCTCCGCACCGCCGTTGCCCTTCGGGTTGTTGTCGGACGAATCAGCGACCATGTTGGCGCCGTTTTTCTGGTTCCTCCGCGCGCCGCCATCCTGGTGACGATTCTGGGGGGTCCATCCATCGGGTTTCTTATAGCACAAAAACCAGGGGTGCCCTTCCTTCTCACAATACCAGCAACTCCCTTTCATTTTGCCACCAGCACCCGACTTGCCCCCACGTCCAGATTTCGCACCGCGACCCCAACCGGTACCTCCTTGTTGGTCGTTGGAGTCGTCGTCTTTCTTTGCACCGCGTCCAGCACCACCAAAGCCACGTCCTCTGCCACGTCGGCTCCCTTGCATCCCGTAGCTGCTGCTGCCGTCGTCTCCACCCCTCAGTTGGCGGCGACGGAAGTCCTCCTCCAGAATCTTCGTCCGCACCCACTCGAGCGTCCACAAGCTCTGGTTCTGCGGCAGGCTCAATCCGCTCGTAAATTGAAGCCACGATTCCGGCAGCAGCGAGAGCATCTTCAAGCACTTGGTCTGCTCCGGGTAGGTGATTCCGCGGTCGCCAACTTCGCGTAGAGGTCGCGCATCTTGTCCAGGACTGGTTGCACCGGCTCTCCCTCGCTCAGGCGCAACGCGGACAGCTCCCTCTCCAGCATCAACGTTGCGACAACGGAGGTCGGGGCTGTTGGTGTAAGGGCTAATAAACTCAAGCTATTAGGACTTAACCAAACTTAAAACCTCTCCTCGGGGTCACCTCCAAGGGTCCCTGGGTGCCTGGTACAAGACCAGCCCCTATCCTCGGGTCCGAGTTTGTAGAGAGAGGGATCAAGAAGGACTTAGTCAAAACAGCAAGAGTACCTTGAACGTCGCGCAGCGTGCCGTGCAGACCGTCGATCGGATTAAGCTGAGAATTCGCTATATCGAAGCTCGCTCCAAGAGCTTTAAAATGAGCCAAGTTGCCTCGCGAAAAGTTCTGCCATTACGAAGTTATGGCTCAGACGGTGTTTGCCTAGCATTAGAGTGCTAGCGTACTAGCGTTGACTCGGGTAGCATTCCGCCAACGAACCGCGTAGAAACGAAATTCCAGCGAGGAAGGAATTCACATGAATCAATTTGACTATATTCAGGTACAAACAGAGAAGGATTAAATAGTTATAGCTAGCAAGGACCTTGGGAATCAACCTGGGAACAACCAGGGATGATCCCAAATAATTCCAAGCAACAGAACCAACCTGGCTGGACAAAATAGCAGGTGGTAGGTTGGTAAACAACCTCTGGTTCTGTTTTTCCAACCTGGGAAAACAACAACCAGGTTCAGGTTCTAAAAACAGAACCTGTTTTGTCTTTGCCCAACCAGCCAAATGCTGGTTCCGCTGGTTTCCCCTGGCCTTGTAGCATGCAGATACAGACAAACAACATCCAACCTTCACCTAAATTGTACCCCTATAGTGCCTTCCCTGCTACACTATAGTTAACCAAACAAACAGTACAATTCCGAGTTGGATAGAACTGAATCTGCGCAATCAACTCAACCGAACTGCAAAGCTTCCATCTTGGGTTCCTTTGCGAGCTCGTCCTTCCTGCTTGCACTGTTCATAGCGCATACAATGTTGTGCCAAAGCGCACATTGCGCGAGTACCTGCAAATGCATCAAGCGAAAAATGCGAAAGCAAACAAACACACGAACACACCATTCACACGCAAATGCATTCGCACACGCATACTCGTACAAACAGACGGCAGGATGTCGTGCAATGTGCATTTGCACCCAACAAGCGGGTCAACTATGTTGCTCGCCTTTAACCGTCTTCGCTCCTCTCCACTTCCCTTGGCCACCCGTGAGCCGTGACACCCTTGCATATGTTTTTTTTTTTTTTTTTTTTTTTTTTTTTTTTTTTTTTTTTTTTTTTTTTTTTTATAAACTTGAAAGTCGCCTTGCGAGGAGATCGGTGCATGTGCATCCCTTGGTTCCACGACCTTGTTTATCTCAAAGCCGTTGTGGCCTCTCTCTCTCTCCTTCTCTCGCTCTCACTCTCTCCCCTCTCTAATGGTCCGTGTATTGATAGATCAAGAAGGTACACACATGCAAAGTATAGAGTAAGCAACTGACAACACAAAGCAATCGCGCTAAACACCCCTGCTATCACCCTACCGCCGTTTCTACAGCTCCAAGAGAGGCTCCACCACTGCAAAACAATCCCCAGGTGCAGCTCATGTCCAATCCCCCCCACCAGGGGTTTTCCGCCGCTGCCGCCTCGCCCAGCTTCATGAGAAGTCCCACGGATTGGGCCCTTTGCAGAGCCACCGACCATCGCTGCCGAAATTGGTGCAGGAACTTGGCGGCATAGAAAGATTTTGAGTCGGCGTTGAAGTGCCGCCGAGCCGCTGAGTCTGCAAGAAGCTTAAGGAAGACCGGAACCTCCGCGCATGGGCAGCCATAGGTGTCTACTGCCAGGGGGAAGAAGCCAACCGTCTCCGGGCGGTTGGCGTAATGCTTAATCTTCTTGTCGGCCTGCTCCCGGGCCGCCCACCCCCTGCCTTTCTGAGCCTCTGGGTCCCTGGTGCTGATGGGATCAGTGACGGTGACGTCGCAGATGTAGACGGCTCCGGTGCTACTGTCCATCATGGTGAAATCCGCCGTTTGTTCTTCGATGGGGCAGTAGGCCGTTGACTCCCGATGGACAATAAAGCCCGCATCTTGCGCCATGCTGACGCAGGCATCCCGCAACTCGTTGTGGGTGTTCGTGCGGTGCTTGCCTGTGGCGCACCGAAGCAGGTGGTTCGGAAGGCGGGGGTCAGTGATGGCCGTGTGTGTTCTGGGCAATCACATTTCTTAGGAGTGAGGCGGAAGCGCACAGCGTTCGCAAAGTGCACTGGCCCTATCCGCCGCGTCGCTGCCATTGGGACTGCCGTAATCCAGTCGCCAGTGCCGTAGCCAGTCAAGGAATACATCCGCTGTGTGTGCCCCGCGAGCGGATTCAGCCGCATGCGTCTCGTCGCTTGCACCTGCACGGCGTATCTACTGCCGTGCACCTTCAGTCCGAGAACGTGTTGAAGCCGTAGGTCGGATCGTTCTAGCCGCTCCTTCTCTAATATCTCCCGTGCGTCTGTCGGTAGCGCCTCCTCACACCCCGTCACCCAAACATGTAGTGGCGTGCCGCTGTCCCACGGCAGGAGCATGTGATCCCGCGCTTGTGCAAGCGCACTCTCGTCACCCAGCGACAGGTTGTTGAGATACAGCGCCGCCTGAGTGAAGCTCGCGGCGAAGCCGTAGATCCCCTCGACGAGGGGGTTTGTAATGCCCAGACCCCCCAATGACGGAGGTAACGACGCCTGCTCCCAAACCCGCGTCTGCTCGGCTTGGCAGGTCGGCAAGCGGAGGTCGCAGGCGGTAAGGAACGTGGTGAGGAGGTCCATCCCCCACTGGCTCCATTTGTCGCGGGGAAGGAGGTTTAGCGGCGTCGTCCGTGTCAAGTACGCGACGCGCCTTGAAGTACAGCGCGTGATTAGCAGTGCTGCTACCTGGGGATCCGTCCGTTCGATGAGCGTCAGTGACTTCGCCATCTCGGCCAGCTGCTCTGCTAGGTAAGTTGCCGCGCCGTCGCCAGGCCCCATGAAACTGCCGAGCAGCTGCACGCCGTCCTTTGAGAACGGCACTCCTGGTGGTAGGTGGGGTGCTTGCACTGTATTCATGCTCCACGCCGCACATTTCTGGGGGTTGTGTTCGAGCCCCAGGAGTGACAGTTTGCTGGTGAAGTGGGAGAAAGCTGCTACAGTATCTTCCGCTTCCCCGATGAACGTCACGTCGTCCGCATATGCCAAACAGAGCACACCAGGGTGTGTGTTTGCTGTGTCGCGGAGTGTTGCATGTATTCCCGCCGCGAACAGTAGCGGGCCAAGTGGGTCCCCTTGGCGGACACCGCGTTCGCTTCGCAGTGGTTCGGAGTTGAAGTTTGCATCCAGGAGCAGCTGCGACGGGTTACCGTATGTTAATTTGACGAGCGGCAGGAGTGGCGAGAGGGCGTGGGAATGTAACGCGGTGGCGATGGCTTTTCTCGAAATGCTGTTGAAAGCGTTCTTGATGTCGGCTTGCAGAACGAGGCTGGTGGGACGGGCGTCCAGGAAGGCCCTGGCCGCGTGGATTACAGTCTCGGCGCCACCTGGCACTGCCACGCCGTACTGTAGTGGGAGAAAGAAGTCGCGGGCAGCTTCCCCCATCGCTGACAGGGCTGCTTTGGCTGCCAGCCTCGTCAAGCATTCGCCGATGGCGATTGGCCGAGCACCGCCCCCAGGTTTGGCCAGGGCTATGAGGCGCGATGCGGTCAACAAATTGGCCACCGAGTCGGGCAAGTTTCCGCCCAAGATGGTGTTAACCAGGGCGTGCAAATGGGTGCTGACCAGTGCATTTGTGATTGCCGAGTCGCGCAAATGTTCAAATGTCATCCCCGACGGCCCCGCCCCAACTCCATTTTCGCATCTGCCCAACATTTTAGCGAAGTCCGCGTGGGCGATAGAAAGCGTTGACCCCTCCGGCGTCGGCCAGATCACCTCCTCGTCAGCAGCACCGTGGGTGCTTCTAGCGCAGTTCCTCCAGGATTTCGGGGCTAGGTGTGCAGACAGGCGTTGACTCCAGGGCAAGAACGGCTCGTCGTAGGCTGCCACGTTTCGCCAGACCCTCGGCTCGTTTGATTGCCCCGGTCGCGTCAGGCCTGTGCCATGGCTCAAGTGGCGTGTTGACTGCAGCTACCGTGTCCAGGTACAGTTGTTCCCAATCGCCACGCTGGAAGGCTCGGAGCCGGGCTTTGATTTTTGGCCAGTCCGGTCGTTGCGGCGAGGTTTGGCGAAGAGTTAGGCGCGGGAGAAACAACAGCAGCCGCCAACCTGTCTCTGACTCTGGGTTTCGTGAGAGGTGTAGTAATGGCGTCAGTAACACCAGTGAGAACAACTGACACAGATTTGGCGGTAAACGCCGTGACAGCGAAGGCTGACGACTGTCGCACAAAGCCGCGATGTCCCAATTCCGGACTGCAGCGAACAAGTCTGTTCGCTTCGCCAGTTCGTCAGGCGAAAGATAGCGGGGAGTCGGAGCGGCCGGTCGCGTCGCAGCACCCCTACTCGCGGCTCGATTTCGTCGAGCACGGCCGGATCTGGCAGGTGAGGCAGATGTTGGAAATTCCGCCGTCCGATCGGCATCGTGCGGCGTGCGTGCCTCCTGGGGCATTTGCACTCGTGCTACCCCGTCCCCTGCTTCTCTTCTCCCAGAGCCCTCTCTCACCCCGCCTCCCTCCTCCTCTCCTTCTTCGTTCTCGCTATCTGGCGTGGGTTCCTCCCTATAAGAGGGGTCCCGTCGCTCCTCCTCCTCATTAGCTGCTTCCAAGTTACTTAAAGCCACCCGTGCCGCTGCTTGGTATCCGTTCTCCGGACCTCCGCCAACTCCGCTTCCCGTCGTCTGATCCGTCCTGCGGCCTCCCCGCGACTCCGATGGTGATTGCTGGAGCGCCTGAGCCGTCGCCAGAGCGCGCTGCCGCCTGGTCGGCAGTCGTCGCCAAACCTCGGTCGGAGCCCGAAAAGGCGACCACAGCGCCGAAGCCTCCTGTAGCGCCGGCTCCGAAGCCCGCGATAGCAGTCGTTGAAAAGACTCTTCCCCCCGTACCCGTGGCTCCTCTTGGCGTGGGTGTGGCTGGCCCGTCTGCTCCTGTGGTCGCTCCGCCCGTTCCGCTAGCTGCTCTTGTCCCCCTTGCTTCTGTTGCCCCGACGGCGTCTGCTCCTGCCGGGGGACTTGCCGGTCTCCCTGATCCTGTACCTGGCGCGTTCGCTGTGCCGGCTGCTTCGGTCCCCGACGTGCCTGCGCCGGCGTCTGCTTCTTCCCCGAAGGCGGCGTCCGCCACCACTGTCGGCCCGGCCCCGATGGTTGCGCATCAGGGCATTGACCAGCCTGCTCCCGCTCTCCCGCCGGCGACCCCTGTAGTGCAGCCGGCCCGTCCTCAATCGCCAGACCGCCGACTCTCCCGCCCCCATTCTCCTGCACCCCAGCAGGAGCGCGCGTCGACGCGGCGCCGGCGCAACTCTCCCCGGCGCTACCAGCAGCAGGCGCAGCGGCCTGCTCATCACGGTGGAAATGGGGGCTGGAGGGGCCCCGCGGGGCCTTCCGCCCGCCTGTGACAATGGCGGATCTCCAGCGGGAGGTGTCACGGGCTGTGCGCGAGGAGGGGGCGTCGCAAAGCCAGAGCAGCTCCCTGCGGGCCGTGCCGGCGCCCGTGGCTCCTCGTCCGACCGCGCCCCCTGAGGTCCCTCCGCCAGCTGCTGCACTTCCGCCACCCGTTCTCGCTCCGTCTGCTCCATCTCCGTCTGTAGCGGCGGCTGCTCCCGGCGCTCGTCTGCATCTGCCGCCGGTTCCGCCTGTTGCGGGGGTGGAGTTTGTGGCCGCGGGTGGAGACGCGGCGGCGGCTCAGTATGCAGCTGATGAGCCGCTCCAGTTCCTGGCGGAGGCGCTTCAGCCTCCGCAGACTCGTGTTCCCCAGTCGACTCTCGGTCAGCTCCACCGCCTCGCCGAGAGTCTCCACGCGTTGCTGATTCAAGTTCTTGCTCACTCCTCTCTCCCTGTGATCCCTCCTGAGTCGTTCCGCGACCGTCCGCGCGAGACTTGCCTGGATGCGGCGGACCAGCTCGCAGTGCTGCTGGCGCCCGTGCTGGCTGCGCCCGCGGAGGGTGGCGCTGCTGATGTGGGACAGCTGGACGAGGCTGTCCGGAGCTTGAAGCAGCACTTGCGCGCAGGATCTGGAGCCGCGGCGATCGGCGCAAGCACGCTTGTGGTCCGGGAGCTGTGGCGCTCCCTGACGGGCGTTCTTCACGCCCTTGGAGCTCACCGCATGTAGGCGCGGGCTCCAGTAGCTCCATTAGTGATTTTCGCGGCTAGGCCGCGGTAGGTGTTGCCATGTGTGTAATGATTGTGACTATAAACCGTCCTGTTGTGATTACTTGTCGTCCCCTCGCGCGCGGCCGAAGGCCGCCGAAGGCGGACGGCGCGAGCGAAAAATTCTCAGCCGCCAAACTAACAATGAGAAAACGGCCTTAGGAAGGCCTTAAGTAGGGCCTAGAGGCTAAGGGCAGAGGCTAAGGGCTGAGGGGAGAGGCTATTCCTCTCTCTCTCTCTCTCTCTCTCTCTCGAACGAGCGAAGAATTCTCAGCCGCCAAACTAACAATGAGAAAACGGCCTTAGGAAGGCCTTAAGTAGGGCCTAGAGGCTAAGGGCAGAGGCTAAGGGCTGAGGGGAGAGGCTATTCCTCTCTCTCTCTCTCTCTCTCTCTCGAACGAGCAAAAAATTCTCAGCCACCAAACTAACAATGAGAAAACGGCCTTAGGAAGGCCTTAAGTAGGGCCTAGAGGCTAAGGGCAGAGGCTAAGGGCTGAGGGGAGAGGCTATTCCTCTCTCTCTCTCTCTCTCTCTCTCTCGAACGAGCGAAAAAATTCTCAGCCACCAAACTAACAATGAGAAAACGGCCTTAGGAAGGCCTTAAGTAGGGCCTAGAGGCTAAGGGCAGAGGCTAAGGGCTGAGGGGAGAGGCTATTCCTCTCTCTCTCTCTCTCTCTCTCTCTCGAACGAGCGAAGAATTCTCAGCCGCCAACTAAGGGTGAGAAAACGGCCTTAGGAAGGCCTTAAGTAGGGCCTAGAGGCTAAGGGCAGAGGCTAAGGGCTGAGGGGAGAGGCTATTCCTCTCTCTCTCTCTCTCTCTCTCTCTCGAACGAGCGAAAAATCTCAGCCGCCAAACTAAGGGTGAGAAAACGGCCTTAGGAAGGCCTTAAGTAGGGCCTAGAGGCTCCATGTGGACCAGCTCCAAAGGCTTCTTGCTCCTGCCAGCCACACTATGGAAGGGAAACGAGTGAACTTTGAAAGCAAACAGATTTCACAGTTGTCATCGGGTGGCTGTCCGTTCAGCTTCAAACCCTTGACGGCTCCATCCTTCTCCAGCTGCTTTAATAAGGGCATTGCCACATGCCCCAAGCGTCGGTGTGCCGTTGCCCAATCTGTCTCCCCAGATCTGGCCGACACTTTCACGCCAACCCCTCCAACGGCATTGCACTCCCCCTGGGATGCAGACCCCTCTCTAGCCTGCCCCCCACCGTGCCACGCCAACACCGGCAGCTGCCACATGGATCTGTACACGTCCTTGCTCTCGTGCAGATCCCAAAGCACCCGATTGCCCAGCTGCCCCTTGTACGTGCGAGCCCCATCCGTGCTAGTGCTCACCCCAGCCTTGGCAAGCTTACGGAGGGAGATGAGGTTGGCCTTAAGGTCGGGAACGAGGAGAACGTCGTGCAGCACCACCGGCTTGCCATCCGCTCCCTTAAACGCAGCTCGTCCCGCACCAGCCACCTTCAGCGCGTGTCCAGAGGCGGAGCACACCTCGTTAATCGGTGCAGCGCGTACGTCGTCCAGCAGGTCTTTGCGCGGCGTCATCGTCCAAGCAGCGCCCGTGTCCAACACCCAATAGTCCAGGGGGTGCAGCTCTGCTCCAACCTTGGCAGAGGCGTCTCCTTGCTCCCCCTGCTCTCCCATATAGAAGAACTGGCCTGCGGTGCGCTCCTTCTTCTTCTCCGCACCACCGTTGCTCTTCGGGTTGTTGTCGGACGAATCAGCGACCATGTTCGCGCCGTTTTTCTGGTTCCTTCGCGCGCCGCCATCCTGTTGACGATTCTGGGGGGTCCATCCATCGGGTTTCTTATAGCACAAAAACCAGGGGTGCCCTTCTTTCTCACAATACCAGCAACTCCCTTTCATTTTGCCACCAGCACCCGACTTGCCCCCACGTCCAGATTTCGCACCGCGACCCCAACCGGTACCTCCTTGTTGGTCGTTGGAGTCGTCGTCCTTCTTTGCACCGCGCCCAGCACCACCGAAGCCACGTCCTCTGCCACGTCGGTTCCCTTGCATCCCGTAGCCGCTGCTGCCGTCGTCTCCACCCCTCAGTTGGCAGCGACGGAAGTCCTCCTCCAGAATCTTCGTCCGCACCCACTCGAGCGTCCACGAGCTCTGGTTCTGCGGCAGGCTCAATCCGCTCGTGAATTGAAGCCACGATTCCGGCAGCAGCGAGAGCATCTTCAGGCACTTGGTCTGCTCCGGGTAGGTGATTCCCGCGGTCGCCAACTTCGCGTAGAGGTCGCGCATCTTGTCCAGAACTGGTTGCACCGGCTCTCCCTCGCTCAATCGCAACGCGGACAGCTCCCTCTCCATCATGAGCGTTGCGGCAAGGTAGGAGCGTGCAGCTCCTTCAGCACGGTCCACGCCTTTGGACCGCAATCAACCTCCGGCAGCAGGTGCATGACGTGGTGACGCTGGTTCAGCTCCAAACTCTGCGACATCAAGTAGTAGCCAGCCGATGCGCGCTCGTCCCAATCTTCCTGCAGCGCGGGGTCACTCGGTCTAGGCTCTTCCCCAATCATTAGTTTCAGCAATCCAATCTGACGGAAGTAAAGCTGCATTTTCCAGGCCCAATCATCATAGCCCTCACCATTGAACTTCTCGACAGTGAAATTCTTCAGCACCTCCTTGATCAGCAAGCCCTGGTTGGTTCGCGCTCCCCTTGGCGCCGAAACACCAGAATCTTGGCTACCGCTACGATCTTGGGCTGAAGATTCACCAGCTCCCGCCGAGGTGTTGCCCGCCATAGCTACCTATAACGAGGATCACTATAACGCAGGCTCTGATACCAGCTTGTTGGTGTAAGGGCCTAATAAACTCAGGCTATTAAGACTTAATCAAACTTAAAACCTCTCCTCGGGGTCACCTCCAAGGGTCCCTGGGTGCCTGGTACAAGACCAGCCCCTATCCTCAGAGAGGAGTTAAGAATGACTTAGCCAAAATAACAAGAGTATCTTGAACGTCGCGCAGCGTGCCGTGCAGATCATCGATCGGATTAAGCTAAGAAGTCGCTATAAAGAAGCTCGCTCCAAGAGCTTTAAAATAAGCCAAGTTGCATCGCGAAAAGTTCTGCCATTACTAAGTTATGGCTCGGAGAGCGTTTGCCTAGCGTTGGAGTGCTAGCATACTAGCGTTGACTCGGGTAGCATTCTGCCGTCGAATAGCGCAGAAACAAAACTCAAGCGAGGAAGGAATTCGCTTGAATCAATTGACTATATTCAGGTACAAACAGAGAAGGAATTTATAGTTCTAGCTAGCAAGGACCTTGGGAATCAACCTAGGAACAACCAGGGATGATCCCAAATAATTCCAAGCAACAGAACCAACCTGGCTGGACAAAATAGCAGGTGGTAGGTTGGTAAACAACCTCTGGTTCTGTTTTTCCAACCTGGGAAAACAACAACCAGGTTCAGGTTCTAAAAACAGAACATGTTTTGTCTTTGCCCAACCAGCCAAATGCTGGTTCCGCTGGTTTCCCCTGGCCCTGTAGCATGCAGATACAGACAAACAACATCCAACCTTCACCCAAATTGTACCCCTATAGTGCCTGCCCTGCTACACTATAGTCAACCAAACAAAACAGTACAATTTCGAGTTGGATAGAACTGAATATGCGCAATCAATTAAACCGAACCGCAAAGCTTCCATCTTGGGTTCCTTTGCGGGCTCGTCCTTTCTGCTTGCACTGTTCATAGCGCGTACAATGTTGTGCCGAAGCGCACATTGCGCGAGTACCTGCAAATGCATTAAGCGAAAATTGCGAAAGCAAACAAACACACGAACATTCCATTCACACCCAAATGCATTCGCACACGCATACTCGTACAAACAGACGGCAGGATGTCGTGCAATGTGCATTTGCACCCAACACACTCCCCCTCAGCCTGCCGGCTGCATCCCCATCATTCCATGCTAGTTCATGCTGTCGAAACAAGTTAGGCAGAAGTTAGGAACAGAAAGAGGGTTTGAACTAGCAGGCAGTTGAGTACAAATAGCAAACCCTAGATTGGGCTGTACTCGCTATAGAGTACCCCACTGCAGGCTAGACAATATAACATTCTGACACACCCCCATAGCCAAAGTGGGATGAAATCAGCGCAACAAGCAGTCACAATAGCAATAGTTCATAAATTATGAGCAAAGGTAGAGGCAGTCACTGAGGGCAAGTGAGGAGGAGGAGGGCTGGCGAGAGGAGAGTAGATGGGAGGCGACGACTGAAGCTGCAGACACACGGGCAACAGACGGCTCTGGTGCAACGCTAGTGGCTACCGGGAGCAAGTGCCCCGGAATACAGGAGTAACTGGCTCTGCGTCTGATCAGCAGCGACAGGAGCAACGGACCCACGGGCGACAGGTGCAACCGGCTCTCTGAGCTACCGGTGGCTATCAGAACCCCGGAATACAGGCGCTGCGGACGACACGACGGCAACCTCCACTCAATCTCCCCCAACAGTCCCACACCCCTCGACACACACCCCCTGCTGCGCCCCTAGCTCCACTCCCCCTTCACCCCCCTAGCACCACTCCTTCGGCTCCCCACACAACCACCCCCCTGAGCGGCAGCTGCAGCAGCGGGAGACGAAGGAGGAGGAGGAGGAGGGGACGGGGCACACAACCGGCACCCCCACAACCGCCACCCCCACACTCCCCACCCCCAAACCCTAAAACGGGCGGAACGGGGGAAGGAGCGCGGGGGACGGCGAGGGGGACGGCGCGCGGCCCCCAGGGCGCCACCACGGGGCAGCGAGGGGCCGCGCGCGGCTCCCCAGGGCGCCGCGACGGGGCAGCGGGGGGCCGCGCGCGGCTCCCCAGGGCGGCGCGACGGGGAATCGGGAGCCGCGCGCGGCTCCAGCTGGTCGACGCGACTGTCGACGGGGCAGCGGAGGGTCGCGCGCGGCTCCCCAGGGCGGCGCGACGGGGTGGCGGGGCGACGCGACCACCGACGGGGCAGCGGGGG